GATGCATTGAAAGGCCAGAACAAGGAACTTGTGGAGGCCATGAAAAGCACAGCGGGTGACAAAGGAAAGTTGGTTTTGGTAGATACGAAAGGGCTTGGGAAGCCAAGCACGTTTTCAGGAGATGCCGAGCAGTATCTCCCGTGGAGACACAGGATGTCGGCATATGTTTGCTCGATCTACCCGGATCTGCGAGATGTTCTTGAATGGTGCGAAGAACGTGAAAAGAGTATATCCACGACGGAGCTCACCGATGCGTTTGGTGAGGGAGCAGATGAGATAGATCGGGTTCCGAACCTGTTCGAGAAATCCACGGAGTTATCTTCGGCACTGCAGATAGTGACTGCGAAGGAGCGGTTTGCTATCGTGATCAATTGTAACACGAATGGCTTCGAAGCTTGGCGAAGGCTTGCTCGACGGTATGATCCCGCGACTGCTTCAAGGAAGCGCTCTATGCTGAAGTCGGTGATCAATCCACAGAAGCAAAAGCTGGAACACCTGCCTCAAGCTATCGAGGAATGGCTCGACGCAATCGCGTCGTACGAGAAAAGAAAAGATGCAAGCGGGAATCGGACCAAGATCCCGGAAGAGATGAAGACCGCAGCGTTGGAGTCCATGTTGCCACAAGACCTGGAGGCACATGTGCAGCTGAACCAGTCGAAGTTTGCTGGGTTTGAAGATCTTCTGGAAGAGGTCACGAGATACGTCGAGCACCGCACGGGGAAGACGCTGAAGGCGTTCTCCACGACCCAGGCCGCTGGCAAAGATAGCCTTGGGGACCCGATGGATGTTTCATCTGTTGGGAAAGGCAAGGATAACAAAGGCGGCCGTGGGACGAAGTTTCTGGGTACCTGCAACAACTGCGGGAAGACAGGACACAAGGCAGCCGAGTGCTGGCAATCGTCGGCAAAAGGCGGCAAAGGAAGCTACTCGAGAGATCCAGGGAAAGGAGCGCCCAAGGGCCAATGGTTCAGCAAGGGAAGCCCGAAAGGAACGAAAGGACCCAAAGGAAGCAAAGGACCAAAGGGAAGCCCCAAAGGCGCGAAAGGAAACAAAGGAAAGGGCAAGAAAGGAAAAGGAAAAGGCAAAGGAAAATACACCAGCAGCCTTGAAGAAGTGGCTGGGGACAACCAGGAGGAATGGAACGAAGAAGCCGGACAAGACGAGACCTCCTGGGAGCACGGCGATCGGACCGAAGATCAGGGCTGGGAAGACTGGCCCGAGGAAGCCGACTGGAATGAAGCAAACGGGCTACTCATAGGTGGCCGGGAGGAAGAAAGGAAAGGAAAGAAAGGAGAGAAGAAAGAAGAAGAGAAGAAAGAAGAGAGAAGGAAGAAAGAAAGAAAAGAAGAAGAATCCGCAGCCGTTTCTGGCCCAAGTGGGACGGGGAAAATGTCGGATTTCGGGGAGCGTCTCCGGAATGCCGGCCTGGACCCGTCTCAGCTTGATGGGCTGTCGGACGATGAAGCGCATGAGTTGCAAGGGGCCCTGTTGGCGTCCCTAGTGGCTCTCCAGGCGCGAGCTAAAGCACGGGCAGAGCCGAAGGCAGAAGCAAAGGCGAAAGAAGAGCCCAAGGCAAAAGAAGGAGCAAAGACCGCAAAGGAGCCAGCGCCCAAAGCAAAGGAAAAGGCAAAGGCCGCGAAGAAGCCAGAGCCAAAGGCGAAGACAAAGGCAGCAAAGGAGAAGAGCAAGGCCGAGGCCAGCTCAGGCGTTTCGCCTGGAGCGCGGCTGAAGCCTCTCTTTGTGTGCCCACCAGAAGGGCCACCTCCTCCAAAGAGGGCCGTCTCGGGGAGCTCTAGGCCAGCTGAGCCGGCGAAGCCTCCGGCGGTGAAGGCTAGGGCAGCGACTCTACCGCCGAAGCCGGTGGTAGGCAAGGCTCCGGTGCCAGGGTCAGCAAGACCCGCGGAGCCGAAGCAGGAGCGCGGGAGGTCTCCGAGGCCTAAGTCGCCGAAGACCCCGGAACAAGGGCCCAAGAAGAAAGAGGAGACGAAAAGGAGAGAAGATGCAGCAAGAAAGGAGCCAACGAAGAAAGCGAAGCCACTTCCGGAGAAGAAGGTAGAAGAAGAAGAGGAAGAAGAAGAAGTGGAGGTGGAAGAAGGAAGTGGCAGCACGGATGCTCCGAGGATGAAGCTGAAGCTCAAGGTGATGAGGGAGCTTAAGACGAAAGAAGAGTGGAAGCGGATGAGCTACGATGAGAGAAGAAAGCACCAAGAGAATATCCGCAAGCTGCTGCCACCAGGGACGGTTGGGCAGCATATCCTCAAGAAGCAGGGGAGTGCCTGCAGCACGTGCAGGAGCAGAAGAAGGAAAACGCGAACAGCTGTGCAAGAGTACCTGCAGAGAAAGAAAAGGGAGTACGAAAGCCTGAAGAAGCCAATGCCAGCCGGGCTCGCGAGGAGCCTGCTGCACCGGGAAGGGATGCTGAAGCCGCCCGGTGAGAGGAGAGGCTCCAGCAAGAAGGGGCCCGAATAAGAAAAGAAAGATGAGGAAGAAGATGAAGAGATGGAAGCGGTGAGCGTGGAGCCCACCGAGAAGAGTGAAGGAGAAGAAGGGCTCGAAGAAGAGGAGCCCAAGGAAGAAGACGTGACCATAGAGGTCAAAGAGGAAAAACCGCCGGGCGAGAAGGAGATCGCCCAGGCGAAGAGGGAGCACGCAGCGAGGATGAAGGCTCTTAGGGAGCAAAGGAATCGTGTAGAGATAGGGTCCGGAGAGACCACAGAGGCCACGGAGGCCGAAGCTACGGAGGCCACGGAGGCCGAAGTGCCAAAGGCGGCGAGCGCCGCGACGGCAGATGCCACGTCGATGTCTTCGTCGACAGTGATGCAGAATCTTCTGCAGGGCAGTCTGCTTGGAGGCCTCATGGCGGATCGAAGTCGTCTGCTGAAGAGGCTGGAGGAGCTAGAGAAGCTCAGCGAGGAAGAGAGGAACGAAAACGACTACGAGGAAAAGGCGAATATCGAGGAGGAGCTGGATGGCATCCTCGAGAAAATCACGAAGCTCAAGGAGCCTCGCTGTGCCAAGGCTGCGCCAAAGGTGGTGGCCGGAAGGCTCGACCAGAGCACGCACGATGCGAGGTATCGCGCTGCTATAGCCAAGGGCGTTCCACACGCCAGGGCTTGGAAAGAGGAGAAAGGAAGAAGAAGGGCGGCGGAGCAACGCCGCAAGGGAACAAAGGAGAGAGCAAAGCTCAATGTGCAAACGCAGAAGGACTGGGCAGAGCATTTTGCTACGAGGCCCGGTCGGAAGGAGGACAACGCAAAGGTTGATGCAATGGAGACGGTTGTGGTCGACAGCCAGAGCAAGGAGGTTGACCCAAGTTCGGCAACCGCTTTGGTGGCAGTTCCGCTGACGGGAAAGGAGAAAACCTACTACCGCCAGGAAGGCGAGGAGGAGCTGAAGCCCAAGAAAGAGAAAGAGGAAAAGCCGCGCGACCCAGAGAAGAGAAGAAAGATCAACGAGAAAAGAGCCCGGCTTGCACAGAAGAACAAAGGAAAAGGAAAGCAAAAGGGCAAAGAGGAAGGAAAGAAAAGGAAGGCACCCGAGGAGGAAGAAGATGAAGGTGAAGATGAAGATGAGGAAGATGATTCTTGGGGGGACTGGAAGAGTCCCGAAGGTGGACCCAAGGATCCTCCAGGGGGTGCGGCAGCTATCGCCTCTGTGGAGGTGAGCTTGGCCACGAATGCCGTTTCGGCGTCCGGTGGCCGGGAGCATGGTCCCCAAGACCAGCGTGTCGAGGTGAACTTCGACAGCGGTGCTGCCGTGACGGTGGTGCCAATGAAGTATGGCCGTGGAACCGAGAAGCCTCGAGAGGAGATGAAGTTCAAGACCGCGAGCGGCCAGAACATACCCGATTATGGGCTATGCGGCTCAAGGGTACGACCTCGAGCGGCAACAGCGCCACACTTTGTGGCCGCTTGGCCGATGTGCATCGAGTGCTGGGGTCGGCATCTGACATCTGCCGATCCCACTACGCTGTGCTGGGAGAAGGCGGCGGCTATCTTATTCCCAAAGGGAATGAGTTTGGGAAAGACTTTGATGCTATGATGAAGAGGTTGCTTCGAAAACACAAAGGTGACCCCAACAGGGCCACCAAACTGCACGTCAGGAGAGGAGTCTACGTGTTCGACCTCAGCTGCCCTTTCACGGGGCAGCCCGGAGCGTAAGACCAAGAGTGAGAGGTAGCGAAGTTTCACCTGTAGAGGTTTCTCCGGTTGAAGCTGCGGACCCCGCGGT